CACACTACGAGTAGTTTGTTTACCTTTATTCACTGACGCATGACAAACGTGTTTCCTAATCCGTCTAAAATATCATTGTGTATTTTCTTCTATTTGTCGCTTTTTTAAACAGGTCTGGACGATTTCTAAATATGGAAGTCAAGAACGATAACCGAAAGTTGCTATAAATATACATCAAGTACACATAATGATTTTTCTGTCCAATCAGACAACAGCATTTTTACACACCCCAAAACATATTTTAAAAGAACAAAAGATAACAGTTGCTTTTGTTTTTTTCCTAAAAAAGATTTTTTTAAGAAAAAATCGGTAGAAGTAAGATGAAAACTTTTGAAGAATAAGGTATTCCCCACATTTTTACCGTGAACAACCATGACATTTTTATCTCGGTAAAGAAAAAAATAATGCACGATAGAATATAATCATTTACAGAGGTATATAGATCGCACCAGCAAGTTTTTATCAAGTTCAATCATAACATTTACCAGAATATATTATATGATGGTAAATATAATTTTGCTTAGCCGTCCGATTTTCATTGATAATGCTTAAATTCCATGTGTATAGATCAACTCACACAAGTGTTTATCGTATGGAGTATACACATATAGTTTTGCATTATCACGGGTTTCATGAGCGCCGAATACTTAGCTATGCAGACTTAAAATGGACATAAGGAAAGGCGTTTAACGTGGAGAGAAGAGAATCCTGTAATTATACATGAATGCGTTTTATCCCAATATCTTACCTTGCATATCAGAAACTGCATCGACTACTAGTATTCTGTAATGAACACTCAAAAATAATAAAGACTGTCATCTTTTCGATAAGATTTTTATGTCAGGCTCTAAAAACTGAAAATTTACCGTATTTATATCAATTTTTTAACGTAATTAAACTTTTGTGATTGCTAACTCCTAGAGACACTTTTTTTTATCTCACTTAAAACGTATTCCAAGCTTTCAAGTCGTGTTTGTTCACGGTAGAATTGTCATAAATATAACATTATTCCCAAATGCGCAGAAAGTTTACAAAAAGTTTGTTCTCAAAAAATCTTTTGAGCAAAAACCGTAAAAACTACGTGTTTTATTTATTCTCTCACGGGTTTGTCTAAATGCTGTTATCTGATTGGTCAGAAGGATTAGTGCCTTGTTTATTCTGTGTATTAATAGCAATTCACGGTTATCGTTCTTGACTTCCTTATTTAGAAATCGTCCAGACCTGTTAAAACATTGTAAGTAATTACAAAAAAATTGACATAAGCAATTTTCAAATACAAAGTGGTTAAAACACTATCCGTTCCATTTTACACATATACTTATTTCTTCCGATTTCAAACTTTATATCACTGGTCCCGAGAAAACTATCGAGATACGGGAAGTTAGGGAGAGTTAGGAAGTTAGGGAGAGTTACGTTCGTTCGTAAGATGTCGGTGTTTCTCTATTAAAAATAACTATAGTCAACTACAGTTAACGATATTTATAATTTTGACACTCTGAAAACTTTTATTTACTCTTATAATAGCGATAAATTTGATTAACTTGAGCAATAAATTTGACACTTTGATAAACTTTGGCAAAATTTTTGTCATTTTGATAAACTATAGTTACTGTGATAACTTTGATTCCCTATAGTAAAAACTTTCACACTTAGATTAACTATAGAGATAACATTAAAAACTTTTATTTACTATAGTGATCACCTTGACAATTTGATTCACTATTGTGATCACTATGAAAACTTTCATTTACTAAAGTAAACACTTTCAAAAGTTTGTTTTACTATAGTAATAAAGACACTTCGATTGACTATAGTAATTAAGTTACTTTTGAGTGCATATTGTTTTTAATCAAAATATCTTAACAATGTCAATACATTTTAACTTCAGATTTTTTGTTCGGGTACGCCCACAATGTGCTCCTTGTAATGTTTGAAAAAAAAGAAAAAAAATATCAAAATTCATGTTAAAAGAAATTCTGTAAGAAAAAAAAAAAACAACAAAATAATCATACTCACAATGATATAATTTAATTTTTGAAATCATAATATCTTCATTCTTGATACACATTTAAGGCTTAGTAAAGCAGAAGCTCTTTTCGATTTGTTATTGTTCCTATTAATTAAGATTGTACTTTATACAACTGTTTACCTGGAGTTTCCAGAAACTGTACTTTGGACGTTTCCAATTATATCAACTTATACTACCGCATATTTTCTATCTTACGGCACTCCAGTGACATCAGGTATCTATAAAATATTTCGGATTAATTGATCTATGCGTCAGTGTTTTTAAAAGATGTTGGTTTTAAAGACCGATAACTATCGTTTAATTAAACCCCTTTTCATTATACGTACATGTATTGAGATGAATCTGGACATTTTGTAAATGTATGCTTCTGCTGGTTGTATAACAAAACAAGTGGACTCTGTCATTAATCTGTTTGTTTAAACGTGTCTATTATAAATTAAGGAACATATAAAATGTATCTATGTTTGAAAAAAAAAACAATTCTAACATGTTTTAATATATTTAAGAAGAATCCATCTCGAGAGATTGTCGATTGCCTGGTTATTTATACAAAGGAACTACAAGTGTAACAGAATCAGGTTTTACATGTCAACGATGGGATAGGCAGACTCCACACGAGCAAAACTACAGGGTTTTTAGTCTCGCTCAAGAGAACTACTGTAGAAATTTTGACAGAGAAGAACCTTGGTGTTATACGACTAATTCAAGTGTCCGATGGGAACTTTGTGGTGTTGACGTTTGTAGTAAGTGCGTCAAAAATATTCTCCTATTGTATTGATTCTCCTTTTTATTGAACACAATTTGTAGATTCAGAAGAATAAATTATCTATATGCAGATCTCATAAACTATGTGTACTGTGTATTGCATATACTCCTTTGTTGTAGGTTCGCCTTGTCTTAATCAATCATTTTATACATCAGAAGTAACATCAGAGTGTCTCTCTGCAGAATCAGAAACTGATGAATTCTGCAGGTTAGATAAATTTGCTTTAGTGTTTATTTTATTCATACATTCTATGGAATGTGTATAATTCTTTGTAGCTTTACAAAACTTTTTTAGTAACATCTTATTTAAATCTTTTAATTTTTTTTTCACTGAAGTAAAAAGAGTTGAGATTATCAATTAAAACTAGATTTGTTTTCACATTGTTTCTTTCCTGAGGAAGGACATGTTAAAAGGCTTATTAGATTTACAGACATGAACCCTAGTATTATATTAATAACCTATGTAACCGATAAATTTAAATCTCAACTTTCTTACAATTTTATATCAATGACAGATGGTTTTATTGTTTTATAAAAGGTAAATTTATTTAATACCTTGTCATTTTTATTGGCCATTTGAAAAAAATAATGGCATATATTTCTATTCTTAAGCTGATAATGAAAGATGCTTGAATTTCTGATTTAAAAATCTATATTCAGGTTTTATAGAGCTCATTTATCAAAAACCTGTCGGTATTTCCAAAGTTTCTTAATTATGTTGACTCATTGCTAGCAGACCTATTTTATTCATGTAAAAGAGAATTTATTCAAAATCTAATACCTGGCAAGAAGACATCACATGACTCAATTTGCCATTCAGATATAATAAGCGACGTAATATCATTAACGATAGAAAGGTACTTCCATTCATATATTATACACATACATAAACCATCGAGTTTGAAAGATCGGAAACTTGACACATCTGTTTCGAATTTGGAAATATATTCTAGGAAAAAAAATAAATGGTTATTCAAAAACTAATGTTTACGATAAACGCAATGACTTATCCTTCAATTTTCAACGTCACTTACATGTATAGCAATATACCCTATTTCCTGCATATAGATCTTATGTTTCTCAATTAATTTCGCAGTTTTTTTTTTTATGGAAGCATATAAGTAATTTTAGGGAAGATTAGACTTTTTAAAGAAAAATAAGTTTGATTATTTGCAAAATCCGCTGATAAACGTAACCTGTTATAATCGATTGCATAAAGATAAAAGAATATCTAACGCAGCGACGTGAACCACAACCACGGCATTACATGACTTCTATTAATAGCAAAATTTTCCTCAATAAAAATGCTAACAGATCAACAACACCCTGGAGTTTAATAACTACTTTGAGTAAATAATGTAGTTGAAAAACGTATTTTGCCTAAAAAGTGCTGCTAGATTTCCACTGTCCCGTCAGTAAAAAAATTAATTATTCCACACACACATTCGCACTAAACCTTACCCGATTCTTTGATTTTTTATTTACATATGAACCGAGATTTTTCCTAAAACCTTGGGATTCTAGCAGCACTTTTCAAGTATTCTAAGAGGCAATCTTTCGATCTGTACAACTCTTATGTTTTGACACATTTTAATTGATTAATTATATACTGTTTAACGTCCCTCTCCAGAATATTTCACTGATATGGAGACGTCACTCTTGCCAGTGAAGGGCTGCAAATTTAGGTCTATGCTCGGCAGTTACGGCCTTTGAGCAGGGAGGGATCTTTATCGTGCCACACCTGCTGTGACATGGGGCCTTGGTTTATACGGTCTCATCCGAAGGACCGCCCCATTTAGTCGACTTTTACGACAAGCAAGAGGGTACATGTACTGAGGATCTGTTCTAACCCGGATCTCCACGGGGCTGTTTAGAAATATACAGCTTATTGTTGTTCTGTTGCATTTTTTGTCAAAAATGACAGAGAAAAGGCCGACCGATGAAAATGAATTAGCATTCTATTTATTAACTGAAGTCCATAAGAATTTCGCAAATATTCAATATATTTGCTTTTAAATTCTATTCTACGTACCTTTGTACATGTCGTCTTAGCCAAATTCTCTTTCAAGGAATAATAAATTTCCAAGGTATTTGATGTTCACATATATGGCGTAATCGGTGGTAGATTCTAATCAAAATGACAGATACCGCATTACAAAATAAAAACATTTTTTTGGTTATATAAATGTTTACACGTTTTTATTCATTTTCTAGAGTTAAATTGCATCTCTAAATACCAATAAAGGAAACTAGAGTTCTAAAATTGACGTTATCTCGCATACTATGACGTCATAAAGTAGCACTGATTTAGTCAAGGTAGAATATTTGGTGTGCTTCCTTATTCCCCTGCCTTAAGTAAATACATGATATTCGTCATCAATTTCTAAACAGAGGTTTTTGTCAGACTCGTTGTCGAAACAAGTATTTCAAAAATCTTTTTAAAGGAGTTTTATGATCTTCGCAATGGTTTTTAAACAAACACAATATATCAAATGCCGACTGAATGACGATTGATGTTTTTCATATTAATTGGTAAGATATCTTTAAACATAAAATGCACACTGTCTTAAGGTCAAGATCTAGTAAATAACTTTAGACTAATTTTTGGTGCCAGATCCATTATGACGTCATAATCAATTTCAACTTTCTTTTCCCCATACTTTATGGCTTTAACAGAATTATGTAGAAAATAGCGTATTTTGAAGACATTCAATTTGAAATCATATGAAAAGTAAACCGGATACCTATGTTAAATTTGATATTGATTTCAAGAAGAGGGCATGAACATACTAATTACTGTTTTTTGAGAGACTGTAGGCAATCTGGATACATTTCCTTTGTTGAATATGAAAAAAAACTCCAATATTCATGACTGGTTTTCTTAATTTTTTATTGAAAATGACAGTTTAAAAGACAGTTTTTCATCTTGTTTACATACAAATTATGCCCCGAATCACCTTATTTGACCAAGCTAAAGTTGTAAAGCATCTTTAAAGGAATTTATTTCTTAAATTTGATAAATCTGTAGGCACCTTTCATTTACTAGATCTTGACCTTAAAATGTCCATATTTTCAAATGATGACAAGAAGCACGCGAGGGTATCCACTGTTTAATACCAAAACTATGTGTTTTAAATTCTTACAATATTTAAACAAGAATTATAAATGATTATAATTTTTTTTGTTATAACATGGAATTTTAAAAACGTTTTAAACAAGTAAACAAAACAAATAACGTTTGAAAGATTTTTTCTTAAGTGGGCGACTTTGGTTTTATTGCGTGAAAACTACAATAGCGAAATTCTTAATTTTTATACCATCTATAACTTACATTAAGTTTAGTGCACATGCAAAATTTCGGCAAAATCTACCGTCCAGGTATTTTTAAGGGACCACCTAAAAATATGTGTACATTTACTATAGGATTATATAGAAAAGTGCACATTTTTAGCACTTTAAAGCAAATTATAGAAATACTACAATAGAGTTTTTGTTCAAACTATAATATATGATGAGTGATACTATATTTTACATTATGTGTAAGAAACACAAAATTCTACCGTCTTATAACCAGGGGGGCATCTCAAAAGGCCAAAAAGTAACAAATTTTTCTGTTTTGATAAAGTACTTTAAAATTGTGAAAGACACAATGGTATTATAGGAAAAATGATAAGAAGAATAGAGATATTCTAAAATGTCTATGCTTTAAATTTCAAGAGCGTATGTTTATTACCTTTTGTTAAATAATATTTTTATTACCCCTTTCTTTAAGAGCTTTAGTTTATCATAACGTCAAAAACACACTATAACGACGTCAACCTTCCTGCAAAATTGGTTTAAAATTCAGTTATAAAATACATTAAAAAAATAAAAATTGTAAAAACATTTTTAAAACTGTAATTTTTTCATTTTGTTTTATTTTATTTATCAATTGAAAAAAAATGATTTAAAACAGTAAATATGTCCTTTTTACTACGATGCGCAAAATATTGCGCAATGAAAACTAAAGTCGCCCCACTTCAAAGAAACTATCATTATTTTTGCAGTAAGGTATGGGCTATTGTTGGCTGTTTGAAGAGCCGTATTGAAAAAATTTCTGGTACTCTGTGTTCTGGTATTGAACCAAAATCTATCGCTCTCCACAATTAGAACACCATAGAGGGTTTAATTGGCAAGTCTTTATCTCAATGTAAGTAATGATTATCAAATTTAAATGTTTTTTTGCATGTTCCTCTAGTAAATTAAAATACATTTACATGCATTAAGATTCATTTAGTTGCACAAATCTAACCAAAAAAGTTTTGAGAGGAGCTTTCAAGTTTACAATGTACTAAATAATCTGATAACCTAACAAACGATGGTAAATAAAATGAATAAATTATTTTCAAGTCTTAATACGAAAAAATAATTTTTCAAATTTCCTATTGACACCAAAAACGACACTTGTAGGGTTAAAGAAATGCTTAGAATATTTTTTTTTTTTTTTTTTTTTTTTTAATGCTTAGAATATATTTCTCGCCATTTGAAAAGAAGAAAAAATTATATGTAAAAATAGACATCGTAATTTCATATGCAGAAAGATAAGCGGCAATGCATGTATTATTTTCTACAATTCTTTTTGAAATTAATTTATCGTATCTTTCTAACAAAACAATTTCTAATAAGGATGTAATGGGATATCTCACAGGGTATGCTTAAATTGGGATATTATCTAAACACACGTCTCGCAAATAATCCTTCTTATAAGTACTTGAAATCTCATACTGTTCCAAACATTATGAAAGAGGAAAAACGAATTAATATAAATTAAACTGTTTTATTAATAGGTCTTAATTCTCCTGAGTCACGCAGGTGACCTATTGATATTTGTTTTCTCGGTTGTCATGCGGATGTGCGTCGTGCATATAGTTTAAAATTTTTCGACTTCTAACAAAAAATAAAGGATCAATTTCAAATACTAAGTATACTTCCCACAAGATATCCTTCGGAAATGGTGGTTTAATTTTTTTTCAGTGGAAAAATTTTGTAATATACTCTTTAAAAAATCTTCTCCAGATCCAGTGGGCCACGAAAGATGAAACTTATGTAGAAGCATCCTCGGGTAGTGTAAATTTAAGTTTATTCAAATCATGAAAGCCGGGGGTTGGGTTGGCCAATAATGGACGATTAAGCTTACATATAAAAATCTTTAAACATTTTCTCCAGAACCACTCTGCCCCAAAAAATAAACATATATTGTAACATTCACAGGAAGTGTAGATTTAAGTTTGTTCCAATCATGACATCGGGGGTAGAGTTGGACCACAATGGGAGATCAAATTTTTACATTGAATAACATAGGAAAAATCTTATTTAAAAAATCTTATTCAGAACCACTTGGCCAATAAAGTTGAAACTTACATGTATATGGAAATTCCTCAGGTAGTATAGGTTCTCAATTGGTCGAATCGTGACACTTGGTGATTGATCAAGATTTTACATGCGAATACATTGGACAATTTTTCTTCTCCATGACCATTAGACCAAGAATCTTATTCAGACCAAGAAATATGAAACATCTTCAGAGTTTTAAATAGAAATATCACGAAAATATCTACAAAATCTTCTAAAGAACAACAGAGCCATAATTAGTGATATTTATATAAAAGCACCCTCAGGTAGTGTAGATTCAAGTTATTCAAATTAGAACTCCTTTGGGTAGGATGGGAACACAATGTGGTAACAGGTTTTACATAATAATGATATATTACAATCATGTTAAATACCTTTTAAAATTTTCAGCGGAACAGCAAATCAATGATTCTTTAAATGGAACTATTGTATGCATCTCTAGGTGGTTTAGATTCAGGTTTGACCCCGGAGTGGGGATGTGGCCACAATTTGGGATCAACGTTTTATATAAGAATACATCGGAAAAAATCTTCTTCTGAACAGAACATTAATGTTAACTCAAATTGAAATGTAAAAATCGACATGTATGGAAGATTCCTTTTTTTTTTTTTTTATCAAATCACGACCCAAGATGCGATGGGGGAGGGGGGGGGGTAACAATATGTGAGATATTTTTTTACGAAGTTGTACCTTGGAAAATAATCTTTAAAAGTGTTCTTTTAAAAAAAAAAGCAAAGATATACGTGTCTGCTATATTGCTGAAATATTGATCAAGCTCAAAAGTGTATTAAAAAAAATATCAGGAGCAGAGAAAACACTGACCTCTAAATTAGTGAAGGTCGTATCAGATGCATCTGATTTGAGAAAAAAGTCATGTGATATATCATACAAACACGTTATATTAGGTAAATTTTCCATTCATATCAAATTGTATTATTTCTCTCATTTTTGTACCATTTTGTAGTTCACTGTCTCGGCTTAGTTCTAATTTGGACGCTCGGTTATTGATCAACCGCGACTTTTTTTATCCGAACTCGATAAAAATAGCTGACATTTGTTTCTTCGCCAAAGTCTCAGGACTTTGACGTAAATGTTGCAGGTGCTTCGGACGAGACCCCAAAACAGAGACTCCATTTCACAGTAGGCCTTCATACCATGAAGACCCCTTACTGCTTAATGGTCATAGGTGCTAAGTAAAGGTCTAAATGATACATTTCTAGGTATATGATAACGTATTTACATGTATGAACAATGCTCATATATATCGTTATATAATATACAATCAATCAATCATGCCTAATTTGGTAAAGGCAGGCGAATGATTTTTATACAACTGAAATAATGCCAGAAACAAAGCTAAGCAAGCGTTTTTTTTTGTTTTTTTTTTTACTGAGAATAGCATGTAAATGTTAAAACGCTTATATTTTCGATATTATTATCATTTACCTTTTTAGAAGTAACAACCGTGGGACAGCTATTGGAATCAAATGTAAATCAGACTCCATTGATCGGTAAGTTTAAATGTATCCCTTCCCCAGCCATGAAAAATAACTGTTTGTATGCACTGCATGAAAAGTCGGGTTGAATTTTACCTTAAATGCAATTTAAATGCTGCGATTATTCAATGTTTAAATGCATAGTATAACATATTGTGGGATCGTAAATGTTAGAAAATAATTAGCATTTAATACGAGTTTAATGAAAAATTAAAAGAACAAATTTAATAAAGTTTGGAAAATTGTAAACTTACTGATACCTTCGGATTTAAGTCTCCCGTATACAAATATTATACCTCTAGTATACAACACGTATAATTATTATTAAACATGCCCATAAAATAAAGTTTTATGATTATATTAAAATTGATCGTTTAATAAAATTTAACGTAGATCTTTACCTCATTATTTTTTGTTTAATTCACACTTTACTTTATAATACTTTAAAAAATTATGTTATATACGGAAAATTGTAAACTTACTAATACGTTCAAATTTGAATCTTTCATAAACGAATATTAAATCTCTTGTATACGAGATGAAAATATACGGATTAAACCTTCCCATATCATTAAGATTTATGGTTGTATTTGATGAAATTTAATATCATTGTATTTTTGCATAATATTTTTATTTAATATTTTATTCCATCATCAATTTGTATGGTTTATAATTGTGGGTTTTTTGGCAAGTACTCAGTATTTTACAGTCATACACAAATCAATTTCTCATTCAATTTTATTACTTGTTATCTCAATAGTGTACAAACAATGAGTTATAACAAGGTATAAGATATCTCAAAATTTATGCCTAAAGGTCAGAATTTAAAAATTTACAATCATGATTGTAGCTCAATTATAATGGAGTAAATTTTTACATATTAGTAGTAAGTAATATATAATACTGAAGTAAATGAAAGAATTTTGAATTTTACAGAACATTTAATATGGAATTCAAATTTTATGAATTTGAGATACCCTGACAACAATTGGTCATCATGTCCAAAGAAATCAATAATCATAAATAATTATAAGAATAGAAATTTATGTAAAATTAAAATCTGAAATAAATCAGAACACAACAGGTCACAAATGCAGTCATTCTGGAATCCAAGAGACTGCAAAATCTGTGACTGAAACTGCCCCTATTAAAACTGCTACATGGGTTGTAAATGGTTTTTCACTTTCCCACAAAAAATTATATCATACTTTGCATAAAAATAATAAAAGTTGCCAATAAAAGTTGTCCATTCTTTTTACAAGTACATCTATTGAGACACACTAAGCCACTGACAGAGAAGCCTCTCTCGCCCACAAACAAGAGCAAAAGGATCGGTCAGAGACACCACCTTTCTCTTACTTGGGTATCAAGATCTGCAACTTACTGCCAGCAAAGCTCTTTCAGACTACCCTTATATTGTTTCCCAAGTACATGTATTTCCACAATAGATGTTCATGGACTAATTATTCAAGTTCAACTTGTAAAAACATGGCAATAAATCAGAGATTAAAAGTGTATATACATGTGTGCCACACAATAAACCAGTTGATCTGGTATCAATAAAATATATGACAGCTTTTAAATCTTTAACTGAGTAAAGTAAATACTTAATGTTGACTGTGAAAAACACAACACCAAAAAAAATCTTTTATATCTTATTTGGTTATGTCAATTCAAATTAAAGAAAAAGTATCATGATTACACATAATAGTAGCAGCTTAAATTTGTCTCTAATACATGTAGCCCATTTCTGTTCCAACTGCTAGGTTAATTGCTTGATGATTGTAACTAACATATCCTCATTAAATCAACTTTACATTGGAATGCAAGACATTTAGATAGTGATACTTTTTCAGTAATTCGTCTTCTAGACATTGTCTTATTCTCGTCATAAACTCGCTTAATTCAAATGGAAGGAAACAAATTAATATTTTACTCTTGCTATTCTCATAACTCTTGCAATATACATTGAAATATTTATTAAAATCACAATTCACCACTTTTTTACTCAGAAATGTCTCTACCTCATCTGCTTAGTCTACTTTTTACATCTATGACACATTTATCCACTGACAGAGAAGCCTCACTCGCCCACAAGCAACAGCAAAAGGATCGGTCAGAGACACCACCTATCTCTTACTTGGGTATCAAGATCTGCAACTTACTGCCAGCAAAGCTCTTTCAGACTACCCTTGATTGTCTTTAATATTTTTTCTCCACAATAAATGTTCATGCACTTATTATTTAAGTCAAACTTGTACATATATGTAATACATATGTATATAAATCAAGATTAAA